GTGAGCTGCTTCTCACATGGCAGTAGGATCGACTTATCTGTGTGTCTAATAAGGACGTCAGAGGGAGGCCTGCTACTCTGTCTCTAAGTCTGTCCCTTCCCCCAGTCCACGGAGGCCTCCTGGGAGGCAGGGCCATGTCTCTATCACCTCTGTCTCCAAGTCTGTCCCTTTCTCCAGTCCACGGAGGCCTCCTGGGAGGCAGGGCCATGTCTCTATCACCTCAGAGCCAGCTCAGGAAATTGGCAGAAAATGGTTCAGTGTGGAGGAGAAAGCAACGTCTGCCCCTGCCTCTGCCCCTGCTGGAGCTGCCCTCACCGCCCTGGGAAGATGTGGACACCCAGCCTAATTTGCTAATAAGGCACAAACCCCGGGCTGATCCTATAAACACAGAGGAAAGACCGCTAGCTGGAGTACAGTCTAGGCATAAATGTAGTTGTGGAATCGTGGAACAGTCTGCCTGGGGCCCTCTTGGCAATGCTTAGGGGCTCAGGGTGGGGGCTATTTACCAACAGGTATGGAAGCAATTCATTTTAACAGTGGATCAGAACACCAGTGCCCTGGGACAGGGGAACACGGGTGACTGATGACTTCCCCACAGAATGTTCTTAGTGTCTTCCTGGGCTCTTCCATCTCTGAAGGTGCCAATGCCCTGGCAACAGCCTTCTGGAACCTAGAGTACCCACGTGACCCTAAAGCCAAGCGCCTGGTTTTCAAGAGCAATTCTAGGGTGAACAGACCCAAGTCATCCCAGGTGCCTTCTCCAGAGGCCCTGTGACTAGCCTGTCACTGCACACCTCGGCCTCATCTCACTGAGCGTCCTCTTCCTTACAGCCCCCTGGATAGACCCACAGTGTGTGGACGCAGGATGTGAAGGACCCTCCCGGGTCACAGACTCATTAAGGGGCCAGGGTTCAGACCCAGGGTTCATGCACCAAACATGACCAGTGAGTACCTCCTCTTCAAAGCAGCCTTCTGAGAAGGCTGGACAGTTATCCCTGTGACCTCACTGCTGCTGGGGGGTCTTTTGGGGAACAACTTCAGTGCTTGCAGCACTTTCCTCTGTGTGTCCGTCTTTGTTCTTTGAGGATGGGCTTGTGTCTTTTGTAGAAGCCCATCCACACTGACTTGTGAAGTGCATCAAGTCAGAGGAGTGAGTGTTGGCCCTCTTGAGTGTCTCATCACTGGGTTCTGAAGGTTTTTCCAGAAAGGTCTGCAGTGAGGGTGAAATGATTGGACTGTGGGGTGGGTGGGGTTTCGTGACAGGATAGAACCCAGGGGCTGACCCAACCGTAGCCAGAAGGGCTGTCTGTGCGTAGGATCTGGCTCTGAAACTTGGGAGCTGCCATCTCAGGTTTGTGTTTTCTGTCTGTTGGAGCAGAGCTGACTCACTTAATCTTTCTGAGGCTCAGTTTCCCCATCTGTACAAAAAAAAAGGCAACCCCACTGCCTGGCTTAGAAGGCTGCTTTGATGATAGATAGTGTGGCTTGTAAGACGCTGTGTACAGGCCCCTGTGGGATGGGCATCTGGGGTCAGTGTTACTATGAAGGGGTGAAGCTTCTCTGGATGTACGAGTCTGAGTGTTGGTCAAGAAGGAAGCATAATTACATCCATGCTCTTAGTTTCTCTGTCCTAGGGTCCGACAGTTAACATTGCGTCTGTTCTGGTTGATTGGTTTCCCCAATGACTTTTCATTCTGCCAACAATGATTTATAGAGTGCCCATGTGCCAGGCTCTGTGTAAGACGCTGTGGATACAACAGTGAACAAAAGCCTCACGGCCGGGCTCGGTGGCTCAGTCTGTAATCCCTGTACTTTGGGAGGCTGAGGCGAGTGGATTGCCTGTGCCCACGGGTTCGAGACTAGCCCGGGCAACTTGGCGAGACCTCATCGCTACAACAAATAGAAAATTAGCCGGGCATATGAATGTTCGCCTGTAGTTCCAGCCCCTTGGAAGGCTGAGGTGGAAGGGCTGCCAGAGCCCGGCAGGTTGATGCTGGAACAGCCATGAGTGCGCCACTGCACTCCAGCCCAGATGACGGAGTGAGACTTCAATTCAAAAACAAAATGCCTCACATGCCCTGCCTTCAAGAAACTTAGGCTTCAGATTACATAACCCAACTCATCTGAGCCCGGCTCACACTATAAACCATCCCAAACTCTACAGGCAGTCCTCCAGAGTCTGGGCTGAGGTCAAGTGCCCCTAAAAGCAGCTTAAATGTTCTGCTAGACAACTGCCTTCTGGAACACGGGCAGCCTTCTTTCTCTGGAGTCTGTGCTCTGTGGGAGTGACTGGTCCAAGTTGCTATGGAAACAGTGTTCAAATGATGGGCTTGTTCTGAACAAATCAGACCCATGGCTCCGTGGAGGATTCCAGGCACTCTTTGTCTGTCCTGGGGGTAACTTCTGAAGCAGAATGCTCTTGAGCACAGGGATTCTTCTCTTGGCAACTTCTTTTTTTTTGAGTTGGAGTCTCACTCTGTCACCCAGGCTAGAGTGCCGTGGCACGCTGATGGTCACTACAGCCTCAACCTGCTGAACTCAGGCAATCCTTCCACCTCAACCTTCCAAGTAGCTGGAACTACAGGTGCACACTTACCATGCCTGGCTAATTTGTTATTATTATTATTTATTGTAGAGACAAGTTCTCGCCAAGTTGCCCTGGCTGGTCTCGAAGGTGCAGGCTCAGGCAATCCACTTGCCTTGGCTTTCCAAAGTGCTGGGGTGACAGGCAGAGCCACTGAGCCTGGCCTTGGCAACTTCTTTAAAGCTGGGAGGTCCTGGCCTGCCTCATGGCCATAGAATGACTCTGTGTCCCTGTGAGGGTCCTCCAGGTTCACATGGGATGATAACAAAAAGCTCTTGAGATACCCAGGCAATATCTTCTACACATAGAGGACTTACTTCCTGAAAGTTCAGCATCCAGTCAATGAGGGTAAAACAATAATGTGCTCTGCAGAAGGTCAAGGTCAAGGCAAGCCAAACAGGGCAACACAGGAAGTCCCTCTGGCTGGCTGCCTTTTTCCATAGAAGCATGACTCTAGGAGGTCTATGTTACAGTTCCATGGGCAGAGGGCTTTCTTTTATCATTTTGAATTCTACCTTGAGTATCTAGAATCTAAATGCCGGTCACCATCTTTGGGGTAAAGGAAAGAAAAATCATGCTCTGTGGGTCAGCCTGTCAGTCCCCAGGATCTACGTGGCCACAAAAAGTTAAATACAGCCGGGCTCGGTGACTCAGCCCGTAATCCCGCACCTTGGGAGGCTGAGGTGAGTGAATTGCCTGAGCCCGTGGGTTCGAGACCCGCCTGGGCAACTTGGTGAGACCTCATCTCTACAATAAATCAAAAATCAGCTGGGCGTGGTCGTGCACGCCTGTCATTGCGGCTACTTGGAAGGCTGAGGCAGAAGGATCGCCGGAGCCCAGTGGGTCGAGGCTGCGGTGGCCGGGAGCGGCCACTGCACTCCAGTTTGGGTGACAGAGTGAGACTCCAACTCAAAAAAAAAAAAAAAAGTTAAATACTCATAAGAAGTCTCATAAACTGGTTCCCATGGGCTCAGGGCATCTGTATCCCCCCATTGAGTCTCCGAGTGAGCCAGGATAGGTTGGGGTCTCTGTCTCTGCCAGTTTTGGGCTGGGGGGTTAGGGCCAGTCCACGGGGCTCACAACCAGATCCCAGCCTTCCTGGCACGTCCTGCCCGGCCAGCAGCCCTGCTCCCTGCTGGTACTTCTTCCTCTGCTTCCTCTCCCAGGCCTGGGCAGAAAGGTCCAGGGCGTGGGACACAGTGGCCTTTCTCGGCTCCTTCCCGGGCAACCACCAGGCTCCGCTGAGGCTGAGGGGGCTGGGTGGGAAGTTGTGACAGCGCATGACTGGAATGCACTCAACCCCCACCCCACCGCCGGGGACAGAGTGTCCCTGGGTGACCCACCTAATGGCAGCTCCCTGAAGCTCTGTGTCTCCCAGAGACATTGACTGCCCCCCCAAGATAAAAGTGGACATTTTTTGAATGGTTGTACCAGGCTCTGTGTAAACTCTTCTGTGCCTAATCCCAGCGGACCATCCCCGCAGCCACATGACAGAGCCTACGATCACCCCTGCCTGTCCTACAGATAGAGAAACTGAGGCTCAAAGAGGTTACCTAGCACCCCAGAATGTCCCAATTCATAGGCAGCAGAGACGGGATTCAAGGATCCAACCTCAGGTTCGAAGCTTCAAAGCTCAACGCCTCCCTGGTCTCTACCACTTCTCAGTCCCAGGGCTCTGGGGCACCCCAGCCCTCCGTTTCCTGAGTAGTTAGGTTGGGCATTTCTCCAGGCCTCTGGCAATGCAACCTTTTCCCGGGATCTCCCTCTCTGTGCCCTCAGCATGCATCTTTGCAAGCCTACTGAGTAACTGAGCAGGTGGGGTGACTCCTGAAAGTCTAGAAGACCATGTTCTTGGGGGGACCTTATGTGATCAAGGTTCCGGGGACCCCATGAGCACAAATTTTGAGCAGAATTTGGCAGCTGGCCCATAAACGACTTTGGGGTAATTTCTTGGGTCCCTTATTCTTTTTGTGTTTTTTTAACGTCACAGTCTCACTCTGTCACCCAGACTGAAGTGCAGTGGCACCATCACAGCTCACTGCAGCCTTGACCTCCTGGGCTCAGGTGATCCTTCTACCTCAGCCTCCTGAGTAGCTGGGACTTATAGGCATGTGTCACCATGCCTGGCTACTTAAAAAAAATTTTTTTTGTGGGTAGAGATGAGGTCTTGCTATGTTGCCCAGGCTGGTCTCAAACTCCTGGCCTCAGGCGCTCCTCCTGCATTGGCCTCCCAAAGTGTTAGAATTATAGGCGTGAACCACTGTGCCTGCGCCTGGTCCCCCTTAGTCTTTATGGGCCCATAAAGGAAAGGAAGGAAGTCCACCAGGCCCGTTCCGAAGTCATCTCTCTTCACTGCCCCACTCTGGGAGGGGGCGCGGCCTTCCCTTCCCGTGGTATCTGGCCCTCCTTCCCTCACCTGAGAGTCGGAGATTTCTGAGGGCTTCTCGGTCAGACTACTGCTCTCTGCCGGGATGAGGTCGTTGTACTTGGTGACATCCTCGTCGGAGTAGTGAAGGCTGCCTGGGCTGGGCCTGGGAGGAGACCTAGAGAGAGAGTAGGAAGTGGGGCTGAGAGATGGCCTCACTCAGAGCGGCCTCCTCTGGCAGGGGAGGACACAGCAAAGCCTGGAAGCACAGGCCACGAGCCTCTCCTGGGGTCCTCCTGCTTCGGGTGTCCACACTCCAGAGGCTGTGAAGAGAGGGCTCTGGGATTCTGAGGAGGGAAGAGATGTCGCACCAAGCTCCTGCAGTCTTGGTGGCGTGCAGGTGAATGTGGTGGTAGAGGGGGTGTCACCATGTCTGGACTCAGGGCCCTGCAGCCTGGGGCTGGTTTGGTGCCAATGGGACTTCTGTTACACACGGGGGTGTAGGGGACACACGGGAGGCTGGTGGGTGGGCACTGTGAGTGCCAGAGGCTAGGAGGGGCAGGGGCAGGTGAGGCCGCTGGTGAAATGCCTCTTGTTATGTGCGGCAGGGCCCCGGAGGCAGCCTGGCAGAGCTGTGGTGGCCATGCTGGACCCGGCTGGGCCCGCCACAGCGGCCTCAACAAGCTCTTTCTTTGGAAGGCTGGATCTGGCGGAGGATGAGAGCCCGGCTTTGCGAGCCCCTCCCTGTGTCCTCCAGATGAACACACACATCGTTTCACCCCTCCAAGACAGAGACAGAGAGAAGCTTTGTGAGCTCCCGAGAGAGGCGGGGGCCCCCGCTCCTCACCGCCTCCATGAGCTGGGAATGCGAATAGGTTTGAGGCCAGAGATGGGCCTCGTCCCTCTTGAGCTCAGGGGAGCATAAAACTGCCACATCATGTCAGAGGAGGGCCAGGTGGGCCCCAGCAGCTGCCCTGTGCTTGGAAATGGGGTAGTCCACAGGGAGTGGGGCCTTGGAGGGACCTGGGGCTGGAGAGAAGTCAGTAGGAAACCAAAGCCGGGTGCCCACCGCCTCTGCCTATCCTCACGGGCTGCTTTTAGGTTCTGCCTTTGGAGGCAGATGGGGCAGGAGACTGTCCTCTAATGAGTACAGATAAGGATCCAGGGGAGAGGGTTTCCTGGACAGGGAGGAAGGCGGGTAGGACATGAGCAGTACTGGGGGTGCTCCTTGCCCCAGCAAACCCCTTGGCTGGACCCATCTCCCCTCTGGGACAAGTGACTATTGGCGGGCCTGTGACCTGGGCAGCTGGCTCCAAATAGCAGATTGGTGTGCAAAATGTCATGCCTTGTGAATTTCTCCCTAGTGTGAGCTGTCATCCCCAGGCTGCGACTGGACCTTGTGGGATGGGCACAAGACCCTGGTGGTGCAGCCTGGGCCCCGCCGGTCTTTCTGCCGGCCGTTCCCAGCCTTGGAGCCTGAGCGCCGTGTTTCCCAGGGGGCGCTGCCCGCTCGGTGGCCCTCCCCAGCATCCTCCACACTAGGGCACTGCCAGGCCCTGGACTCTGGCCCCCAAACCTCCATCCCCGGGCTGCCCGACGCCGAGGGACCCTACCTGGTGTACAGGCCGTTCTTTCGGCAGAAGGAGTTCTTGACAGAGAGCCGCCGGTTGTTGAGTTCCAGGGCAGGGAAGCTGCTTTCATCCAAGCTCATCATCTCCCCGTGGCCCAGGGCTCCGGACTTGGCACTGTTCCCTGTGGGGGGAGACTGACACCCTCCAGACCCTGCGGACTTCCCTCTCCTGCTCCGCACCCCCTTCTGGCCTGTCGCCTCTTCCTTTTGCCAGGCTTGAGACCAAAAGAAGAGACCGCGGTCGTGTGAGGAGTCCTGAGCTACCTCGCCCATCAGCGGGGAGCGCCACCAGGAGAGGCCCGGCCGCCCCAGCCCCGGCCAGAGGGAGGCAGACCCGTGAAAGCCAAGGCTGGCCGGCAGGACGGGGCGCCGGCTTACTCACCCGAGTCTGTCTTCTTGGCATACTTCTTGCTCTGGCCTCGGATGATGAGCACAAAGACCAGAAGCAGGATGAGGATGAGGCCGACCAGGGCGACGACCACCAGGAACCACCATTCCTCGTAGAAGGGGCTGGCTTTCTGGGCTGGAAACGGGCGCGGTCAAGCCCGGGAGTGCAGGCCCCTCTTGTCTCCGAGTCTCCTACTCTAGCTACTGTGCTGGCTAGCAGCTGGCCACCACCCCGCGTACGGGGAGGCAGGGTCTGGGCCCTCTGCACGGGGTGGAGCCTAGGACAAGCTGGCAAGGAGGGTGTCCCCTCACACGCCTGCTCTGGTCTGCAGGTAAAGGCCTGCCTGGCGGGCTGATGTGGGAAGGGTTCTGTGGCTGCTTCCCGACTCACTGGGGGAAGAGTGCTGGGATCGATCAACGATGTCTGCCGGGAACACAGGAGGAGAGAGTGGCAGTGACAGCATGCTAGCTACTGTTCCTTTTCTTATTTCTTGTCTAGGGGCCACCTTGACAAGCAGACCCAAATCTGTGTGGGGGAAGGCTGCTTCTCTGGCCTGCAGGAGGCAGGGAGTGCTTTCCCCAGGATTCAATTTGGACTGAATTTTTTTCCCGGGGGGCTGAAAGCAGGGACAGCCAGGAGGATGGACGTGAGGGGTTCATTTTTGCTTCTGAGTTGGGGTCTCAGGCTGCAGTGCAGTGGCATGCCCATGCCACTACAGCCTTGATCTGCTGGGCTCAGGCGATCCCTCTGCCTCAGTCTTCCAAGTAGCTGGAACCACAGGCACAGGCCCTCATGCCTGGCTAATTTTTTGATTTATTGTAGAGACGAGGTCTCACCGAGTAGTCTAGGCTAGTCTTGAACCTCTGGACTCAGGCGATCCTCTCACCTCCGCCTCCCAAAGTGCTGGGATTATAGGCGTGAGCAACGCACCTGGTCTGGGGGGGTTCTTTAGAATGCCTCTACCAGGTAGACCCTCTCTTCTTTCAAGCCCACCCCCTCGAACTTTGCTTTCTGCACCCAGCCAGTATGACCTATGAGGAGTGGGCTCTGCTATTTCGGCCTTGAAGCATTTCTGTCCCCCGATTTGATTCTGAAGAAGAGACCGCGATTGTGTGCAAGGGAGGAGTGTGTGGGGGGGGGACATTTGGAGCTCATCTGGCCAGTAGAAATTTTGAGTTATCGTAGAGACCTTTGTGTGGTCTGAGATACGGTAGATGGGGAGAATGAGACGAGGGAAGAGGGGAGGGGTGGCTAAGGCCTGCCCATCAGCTGCTGACCTGTTGTTTCTGGGGGGGGTGGTTTCCATAGAAACACGGTTTATGGCCTGGCGTGTTTGAATCTCCTGGGTGATGAGCTCATGGAAGCTCGCACCTTGGGCCTGGAGTGCTTGAGTTGGAGCCCAAAAGCTTCCCCTGGAGCTGAGGGCTGACCCAGGCCCGGGCCCCAGAACTTGCTGCTTTGGAACCTTAAGCGGACAATGCTTTTGGGTCCCCCCAGGGCTTCTGGCGCTCCGGTTCCTTCTCCACTGGCCAGTATCCATCGCCAGACCCTGCCCCGGGGCTCCCCCTATCCCTCACCCCACGGGCTGTTACCTGGCACGGATTGGGAGGGGCTGCTGGGGGTGCCGAAGCCGTAGTCGTTGACCGCGATGACCCGGAAGTCGTAGCTCACGCCCGGCTTCAGGATGTCCATGCTGAACGTGTAGGAGGTCACCTCCTTGGGGATGTCTTTGATGAGGATGTCCCATAGACCCTCATCTGTGGGGGCACAGAGAGGGAGGCCTGTGAGGCAGGGGGCAGCCTCAGAACCTGATCCCAGCCCGGTCCCGACCATGCTCCCTGAGGGCGGAGCCTGTGGGATACGCCCCGCACAACACGGAGTCTCGACACTTGGTCCTCTGTTGATGTTTCTAAAAAGACACCTTGCAGAGTGTCTGTTTTTTTAAAACATCTGCACTACTTTAAAAAATACGAGCTGGGCTCGGGGGCTCAGCCTGTAATCCCGCGCTTTGGGAGGCTGAGGTGAGTGGATGGCCTGAGCCCGCGGGTTCGAGACCCGCCTGGGCAACTTGGTGAGACCTCATCTCTACAATAAATCAAAACATCAGCCGGGCATGGTAGCGCATGCCTGTAATTCCAGCTACTTGGAAGGCTGAGGCGGAAGGATCGCCGGAGCCCAGCAGGTCGAGGCTGCGGTGGCTGGGAGCAGCTAGGGCACGCCAGTGTGGGCGACTCCAACTCAAAAAAAAAAAAAAAAAAATATATATATATATATATATATACGTACCGGTCAGACAGTACTGTCCCAACCAGTGACAGTGCCACGTCCAGAGAAGAAGGCTCATTTCGGCACTTGGAAAGGCAGAACTCTCCGGGCTCTGTCTTCCCTGTCATTACAAATGGCTGGGAAACACTTTAAGCGGTTGCCTGGGATTTCATCATATGGGAGTACCCTTCTTTAATCTGGTTTTCTAGTTCCCTGTCCCTGTGAGTGAGGCAGAGGTGCCACGGCCACCCGCATCCTTTCTCCATGTGGGGGTAAGCCTGCGGTGGGACCTGCTGGGGGGCTGCCCAACGTGGAGAAAGGATGTGGGGGGGCTGCCCTCTCCACACCCCTCCCGCCGTCAGCACAGACCCCTCCCACATGGGAGGCCAGGGGGCCCTGTCTGCATTCAGGACCATCCTTGGGAGAGGCTCCAGGGTCGGAGCCCGGCCTCATCGTTAGTCCAACTTGGTTTTGAGCGTCTGCCTCCTAAACCGCATCTTGTTGTCGAATGTTGCTCACCCTTGCTACGCTCTCTCTGTCTCCCTCCATCTCTCTCTCTCTCTCTCTCTCTCTCTCTCTCTCTCTCTCTCCAGCTCTCTCTCTGCTGGGTTGTAAAAATCCCTCAAAAGCAAGGATTATGTCTGATTGGGCTCAGTCTGCCCAGCACCTAGCACAAGCACCCTCTAAGTGTTTGCTGAATAAATGAATGAAAATTTTCTTCTCTGGCTTTTATGTACCCATTTTTGGTGTTTCACACCTTAAAATTTAAGTATTGGGGGGTAAATCCATTTTCCCCATATAACTGAATTCTCTCACTCATCCTCAAAAGATAGCCATAATGGCCAGGTGTGGCGGTGCACACCTGTAGTCCCAGCTACTTGGGAGGCTGACGTGGAAGGATCGCCTGAGCCCAGGAGGTCAAGGCTGCAGGAAGCTGGCATCCTGCCCCTGCATTCCAGCCTGGGCAACAGAGGGGGAGACCCTGACTCAAAGAAAAACAGTCATAACGATTATGATGGGGACGCTGACAACAGCTGGCTCTTACTCCTCTGTCAAGTACCCCAGGTCTATGCATTTTACTTTTCAAATCCACAGCAATGACGAGAGGGAAAAACCATCGTTCCCATTTTACAGATGAGGACACCAAGGCCCGGAGAAGGGCATAGCTCATCTTCCTAAGGTCACACATGGAAAGTGGCAGAGCTAGTACTTCCGCCTGGGGCCTGACTCCTGGCGCCAAACCTCCTCTGGGTACCCAGGGAGCTGGGTCCATGTTTGCTGGGTGGGCTCGGCTCGCCGAGGCCCTGCTACCTTCCAGAAGCCAGGGCCTCTGGCCTGCTGTTCAACCTCCCTCATTCCACCCCACGCAGGGACAAAGGGTGGGGCTGGGGCGACGGGGCCAGGCCAGAAGCTGCTGGAATGTCACGCTGGGGCTCTGGCCTCCCGCCCTGGGCACTGGCTGATGTACAGCACCGGTTCCCCGGGGGTTGCAAATCCCCTGAGCGAATCCCTCCCGGGTCTGCAGGGCCCAGCAGCTCTCCGGCTCATTCGGGCGTGTTTAGCTGATCCTGCACAGCACGGAGCACACCCCACGCAGCGGGGAGCACGGGACGAGAGCCATGTCCTCCCGAGGATGAGAAGGGCGGACAGCCAGGGCACAAGGGGGCACAGGAGAGGGGCGAGATGCCCCCTCCCCGTTGCTTGCTCTCAAACAGCCCTCGCCCGCTCTGCTCTTCCCCTGTCCTCCTCCCCCGGACGTGTCGCTGATCCTGTCCTCGGCTCTCTGGCCGGACTCCACGCCTGGCCCTTCACAGGGTCCTGGCTCGGTTCTTCCTTTTACGCTCAGGCTTGACTCCTCCTGCTTGGACCAGGTCATGGCCCCCTAACTTGGAACGCCGAAGTCCCATGCTGGGCCTCCCGGGGAACACTGGAAAATCAACAGGGCCGAGTCCGGGGCCAACATTCCACAGCCTGGCATCGCAGTCGGCCAACTTGGGTGGAATAAACAGGCACGGGCCCTGGTGGGGAGAAGCAGACCGAGGTGTCCTGGCCAACGTAGCAGCCGGCACCGGAGGGCTGGGGGGGACCATCTGGAGTGGGGAGAGAGCCAGCCCGCACACGTCCGCCGGCCCACGGTGGAGCCGAGCAGTTAGACGTATAAGCTATTTGCACCAGCGATGATTAGCATAGGATTAAGGCGACAAGGGGGTGGCGGTGGCTTCCAGAAACTACTAGAATTATTAACTCTTTGCTGTTGGGATGGTGAGTGCCCAGCGACCTCACAGTCATAGCAATCTGTCCCTGGGCTGTTTCCATATTCCCCATTAGAACGATCAGCTGCCGAGAGACGCTTGACTACTTTCCACGAAGGTTATTATTTGTTATTCAGGTTAGAGCAACAGCCCTTTTTTTCTTTCTCAACTTCAATCACCTAACCATGGATCCGTGGAATACAAAGAACAAGCCTCCAGCTCTTGCTGACTCTGGCACCTCTGATTAACTTGGAAACCTAGCAACGCAGGAGCCGGCCGTGGCCGAGAACCCTTGCACGTAAGCAGAGCCCGGACATGGGCGTCAGGACGTGTGAAACAAGAGCAGCCCCCCAGAGTGACTTATCAGCTGCTCATCTCCTGATGGCTTTGGAAGTTCTTGTGATTCGATTTCAGGCTTGACAGGAGAGGTTGGTACAATTACAGGAGCTGCTGAGACAGCCGTGATGGCACAGACAGTGCTGAGGGAGGTAGCTGGGGTCTCCTTGGTTACGGGGCACGGGTCCGTCGGGTCGCAGGGTTAACCAAAGTGAGCCATGTGCTTATCCCTCTGGCTTTCTGAACAATCCTCAACCCAAGGTAGTCTCTGGGGGTTCCCTGGTTCTTTCTTTCTTTCTTTCTTTCTTTTTTAAATTTGAGTTGGAGTCTCACTGTGTTGCCCAGGCTGGAGTGCGGTGGCGTGCTCACGGCCACCACAGCCTCGTCCCTTTGGGCTCAGGTAATCCTTTTGCCTCAGTCTTTCAAGTAGCTGGAACCACAGGCATGTGCCACCAGGTCCGGTTAATTTTTTGATTTATTGTAGAGATGAGGTGTTGTTGCCAAGTTGCCCAAGCTGGTCTCAAACTCGTAGGCTCAGGCAATCCTCTCGCCTCCGCCTCCCAAAGTGCCGAGATTACAGGCACGAGCTACCATGCCTGGCTCCTGGATGTTTCTTAACCAAGACTCCCGCCCCATCTATCTCCCACTCCCCAGCAGGGCCACCTGTAGCTTCGCCTGCAGTAGCACAAGCACCTTCTCAGGGGGAGGACTCACGTGCCCCAAGTGGAGGGACCCAGGACGGAGGGAGAATGAGAGCCATGGAGTCTTGGCCCAGCGTGGGGCAGGGGCGCACCTGAAGGCCTGGCCTCTATGACATAGCGGGTGATGGGCCCTTTGCCGGGGTCTCCGCTGGACCAGTGGATGGCGATGGCAGAGCTGTAGCGCACAATGATGGGCACACCAGGTGGTCCCGGGGCACCTGCAAGCAGCACACAGAGGGCAAGAGATGTATTGAGCCCAGTTCGGCCGCCTGGCCTCCCACCCTGGGCTCGAGGAGGAAACCTGGGTGATAAAACCCATTGTCGCCTTGGAGCCTCTGGGAAGCCCTGCACGGCTGCCGAGGCCTGAGCAGTGTGTCTCGGGCCAGGCCTGCCTGGGTGGACTTCTGTCTCCTCTGGGTCACCCCTACTGTCCCGCATTCTGGATCCCAGGGAGAGGGCACATGGGGTGATCCAGAAGGATCCCTGGAGTAGAGTCAGGAGATCTGGGTTCCAGCCCAGAACTTCTGAGATGGGTGACTTTGATCAATTCACACAGCCCTCCACTGCCTCAGTTTCCCCGTCTTCAAGGGCCTTTTGGAGGGTAAGGCTTAAGGGGGCATTGGAGGTTGGTGCGATGAGGGCAGAGTGGACGCATATAAGAGGGGTTGGCTGGGGGCACCGAAGAACCCCCCAGCAGCGTCCCCTGGTGTGTGACAGTGATGTCCTCCCTTCCTCCTGCCTGAAATTCCACTCCACCCCCACCGCTCTCAACTGCATTTGCTATTAAGTTAGGCAAGGGGAGAGGGGCTGTGGCCCCAGGAAGACTTGGGGACCCTCTGCTAGGAGGAGGGAGGAAGGACTGGGTTCCCTGCTGCTTTCCTGGCATGAAGGTATGTCAAGGAGCAGCCTGGCACGTTGGCCAGCAGGGGACCAACCCTAGGAGCTAGAGCACGAGAGAGGCGGTGACTTCTGTAGTAAGAAGGGTGATCCAGGTGTCCACGGTTGGCCTTAGCCCGTCTTTCCTTGGGGGTGCCCGTCCAGAGTCCTGACCCCATGTGCTATCACCACCATGCTTGCTTCCCATCAGACGGGGAGCTCTGTATCCCCAGAGCCTGAGACAGTAGGTGCTTCCTACATGCTTAGGGATGAGGGATAGAACCAGCGTGTGAGCGCTGGCTGTGTGGCCTCTGTGGACATCCACCAGGAGGAGAGCTGAGTCCTGGCTCACGCTGAAGCTCCTCCAGGGCCCAGGAGAGCTGGAGGGTGGGACGGGAGGCCCAGACATGGCCTGGCAGCCCACTGCCTCGCCCCTGCGTCCAGCTCTGACCGTGCCACCTTGGGGAACTTTTTTCCTTGCCTAAGGAGCCTTCTACCAGAAGCCCAGGGGCAAGGTCAGCTGAGGAATCAGGAAGGGTGGGGGACACGCTGGGGGGTGTGGAGGCAGGGAGAGGACAGTGTCCAGGGCTGAGGGAGGGAGCCCTCAATTCTTCTTGGGCCAGAAGGTTCCAGGAAAGCCAGTCATTGCCTGGTTGCCGGTTCTCCCCCTGCAGACCCCCTTCCCCTCTCACCAACTGGTGAGGACCGTTTCCCCTTCTCCCCCCACCCCGGCTGGGTGAGGACCCGTTCCTTCTTTATCAGAGTGCCCTCTGCCAGTCCCTCTGCACTCCCTGCCCCACCCCCTCAGCCTGGGACTCTTCAGGCCTTAGGTTAGAACAGCCTGTCCTCCAGACAGCTCTCTCCTGTCCCTAAGCCACCGCTTGGCCCTCAGCTGGCTGCCAGAGCTTTCTTCCTGCTTTTGTTTCTCAGGAAGCAGCTCAGGTGAGAGGCAGCAAGGGGCAGGACTGGGGGTACAGACGGTAGGGGCAGGGGCGGGTCAGCTCCGAAGCAGGGCTTCCCCTTGCAGGTTCTGTCCTAAGGGGGCCACATGGCTTCTAACAGGGTGGGAATGGAAAGTGACCAGATGAACAGGGAAAGTGCAAAGCGGTCCCTCTGAGCCACCAGGGAAGACAGGCCTGCGGGACAGGCGAAAGGTACCCCCAGGGCCAGGCTGACTCGGCCTGCTGGGGAGAGGAGGCCTGTGTCCACTCCTGGTCACTGGGCCAGGGTACAGGTGGAGAAAAACTGAAGGGAGAGTTTGGGAGTGGCTGTGTCCTTTCTTAGGGAGGGGGGCAGCAGGGTGGCCTGTGAGGTGGCTTTTGTGTTGAGGATGGGACACCCTGCATAGGTGACAGGGTCTTGGGAGGGCTCACAGGGGTCTGGGTAGAAGAAGGGTGAGAGGGGATGGGAGGTGGTTGGGACACTTAAGGAGGTCATTGGGAATACTCCGTGGGTGGGCATTTCAACAGACAAAGGGCAGAGGGCAGGGCGTGGGCAGTGAATCCACAGCCTCCTCCATCAAGGTGTTTCTCAGTGTGCTACTTTAGTTAGATCCTCCGGGGCTCTTAGGATAGGAGCAGATCACCAAACCCCACCCTGGCCCCAGGACATCAGCACCGCTGGGCATCTGCCCTGGGAACGTGCATCTTAGCAAGAGCTGAAAGTGGTGCTTTCCACACTGCCAGGGGGCAGGGTGGCTCTGGGCGTGGGAAGATGGCTACGGCCAGGCCAGATGCAGGGGGATCGGCTAGGCCGCCTCCTTCCTGGACGGAGGTGATGGAGGAGAGGGAAAGAAAGGAGTGGTGGGTTAGCCAGGCTCGGTGGCTCAGCCCGTAATCCAGCGCCTTTGGGAGGCTGAGGTGAGTGGATTGCCCGAGCCCACGGGTTCGAGACCCACCTGGGCAGGCGAGACCTCATCTCTACAATAAAATAAAAAAATCAGCCGGGCGTGGTAGCGCATGCCTGTAATTCCGGCTACTCGGAAGGCTGAGGCGGAAGGATCGCCGGAGCCCAGCAGGCAAGGCTGCGGAGGCTGGGAGCGGCCACTGCACTCCAGTCTGGGTGACAGAGTGAGACTCCAACTAAAAAAAAAAAGAAAGGAGTGGTGGCATGGCCAGGCCTGTGCCCTGGGCCTGGGGGCGGGGAGAGGAGGCCCCAGTGCCACTAACCACAGCAGAGAACCCAGGGGGAGGGAGGAGATACAGAGACCAGCGGGAATAGTGAACTCTGCTCCCTACTCTGTGTCTCCAGGGTCTGGCTTTTAAAACCTGGGGGGCCCTTCTGACTTGGGGGGCTGAACAACCATGCATGGAAGACTGCAGCTCACAGGTGGCGGCCACTCTCCTACCTTCTCCAGGGCCTGTGGTGACGTTGGCCTCGATTTCCGGCCCGTAGGTGAAGGTCTTGGCTCTGATGCGGAACCTGTAGGTCATGCCCTCTGCCAGGTCCTTCACCTTCAGCCACAGGGGGCTGCTCCCCTTCACGTCCACTGTCACGATCTTGCTGACTCCTGGAGGAAGCACAGCAGGCAGGGTTGCAGGGGGCCAGCGGGAGCGGGGAGCCTCCACCCCCGAGGCCACTGGAGGCCGTGGGGAGGGGAATGGGCAGTAGCCAGAGCCCTGGACGCTGGGCAGGGGCCTCCCCCCTTGAGGTCAGGCTGAACAGCATTGTTGACCAGGCTTGGTGTCTTGGAATACGGTCCTTCCTGCTGGCTGTTCTGGGTGGGTGGGTGGGAGGGGTGCTCCGTGGATAAACACATTTGAAAAATGCTACACACTGTGTGTCTGTTGAATAACCAGAGTCCTTGAGCATCTAGAGGGAAAAAAACCCTCACTTTTCTGTACCCCAAGTATATTTCACCCCCATTTGTATTCCCCTGCAAAACACCCTCAGAACTAGAATACTAAGGAGCATTTTCCAGGAAGTGCTTCTGTAAAGAAACCAGAAGTCCAGAGTGGTGGGGACACTTCATCCCTGACCCCAGCTCTGCCTCTGGGCTTTAGCCCAGAGCACACACCGGCCGGTCCTTCATCACCTGCCCCGTGCTGGGCTTTTCGGGGAAAAGGTGAGCTTGCCTCAGCACCCCAAATCAACCTGAGGGGAGGCTTGGGACAGCTTTCAGGAGGGGGAGCTCGCACTTGGTGCTTCACAGACTCCCAAAGCTCCCGAGCGCCAGCTTCCTGAGGGCCGGGGCTGGTGTCATCTCCCACGTCTGCAGAGCACACTTTCATGACTGAGAGACGGCCTCGCAGTCAGTGGGCTGGGCTCAGACAGCCCCGGCGTGTCAAGAGGTTTAAGTAAAATAACAGAGCACCCAGGTCCCTGAGATAATGAACAAATGAATGAACGATTGAGGGAAAGAACAATGTATGCTTATGGGGGGCTTCTGAAATAATGAGATGACCCCCAGGCATAGGAACAGGGACTCTGGGTACCTGCTCCCTGACATTTCTGAACTAAACCCCTCCTCTGCCTGGGCCTTGGCTTTCCCTACAGGAAGGAAGCTCCTGGGCTCCTGTGAGGCCGGTTGGCTGCTGACCTGAGCCCAGGGCTGACGCAGGACCTGGGGTGGACACCGCACAGCCAGGCCAGGCCTCATCCAGCTGCACTTACGGCTGGGCTACCATTGGAGGACGGGACCATGCGAGGGCGTGGAGTTCAGCCACACGGTCCAGATCCCACCAGACTGAGGACCTGGGAGGCAAGGCACTCGCACCTCTCAGGGCAGGCAGTCCCCTGTGAAGAGAACTCAACCCGGACCCCTGTGACATGTCTCTGGGACCTCCGTCCTCTGCCCCGTTCCCAGGACCTGTACCTGGCCGGATCTCCTAGGGCCCGGCATCCCCTCAGTGTTCTAACACACAGCTCTGTCTTGCAGAATGAGCTTCTGGCAACCAGGTGGTGGCGGGGAAGACTGAGAGCCATTGTTCCCTCGACTGACCCAGAACTGCTGGCCACAGCAACGTTCCCAGGCCCCACCCCTTGTTCTTGCTGGGCTCTGTGGTTGGGGGAGTGAGAGCAAGGAGGGTGACCCCAGAGGCCAGCTACACCCCCAACGCCTCGCTGGAACTCGACCCAGGCAGAGAGGAGCCCAGTCCCCTTCCTGCCTGTCCTCCTAAGATGGCTGTCCTCTCTAACTGCCCTGTCTTCCGAAGATGGTTGTTGGTAACAAAACAGCAGTGATCTGGGGGCACACCGCTCACCCCAGCTCACTCCCACCCAGCCTGGGCAAGCAGCCCTCAGGGGGTAGAAAGCTGGCAAAGGACTGATGTCCACTGGCAGGGGCAGCGGGGCCCAGCCTGGGAGCCCGGAAGTGGGGCAGGGTCTCTGCCGGGGCCTGGAGGAGAGCATAGGGGCTGGGAATTGTGAGGGAGGGATCTGAAGACGGCTTGGATGAGCAGGATTTAGGACGTGAGGGAGTTCTGGCAGAACACGGCTCTTGATCTGAGGCTCACAGAAGGCAACAGTGAACAGATTGGGGGTGCAGTGAGCACCCTGGTCTTATGCATCTTCCCGATCAGATTCTCAAAGGGGTTCCTGGCCTCCACCAAAGGGCTGACCTAAAGCAAAGCTGAGAAACCTAAGGTTTGGAAGAGGAAGGAATGGGATGGGACCCCCAGGGGCTCCCTCCTTCTTTGTAGTTCCAACAGAGCCCCGTCCATCTTGGGGTGTGATACCGAGCTCAGACTTCCCTTCTTCTCCCCTCACGTCCATTGACGGAAAGGGGAGAGTAAATTTAAACATTCTCTGTCTGGGAGTTGGGAGACCCAGGCAGCCCTTCCAACTTTGCCCTCAGCTTGCGGGTGTTTTGCCTTGGAAATAACCTTTCCCTCATCTGGGTCTCAGTTTCCCCACTTATAGATGGGGAGACGCTCACTGCATCTAACGCATACGTAGTGGCTGTGACAGGGACCCCAGAGGAGGGAGCATCCTTGCAGAGCGAGGGTCTGGGAGCTGTGCTGGAGGGTCTACTTACCATCCACGGGGGTGCAGGGCTCATACACCAGCCTGTAGCCCTGCAGGATGCCATTGGGGAACTGCGGGGCTTCCCAGGACACGTTCACTGAGGTTGTGGTCAGCTCGCTGAACTTGACCGAGCTGGGAGCGCTGGGGGCTGCGGGAGACAGCAAAGGGTTTTTGTTTCTTCCTTCTGTGGACGTTCAAAGCCTTGGATTCAGCTCCAAGGAGCAAGCAGAAGGTTTGGGTCTGGGCCCAGGAAGAACAGGAGAGCAGGGCTCAGCACAACCGGAAAGCAGGGGGGTCACCGGAGGCCGCCAGACCCCTTCCCTTCCCCTCTCAACTTGCCAGTTATCAGAGTCCTAAGAACTGGGAAGGAACGCAACATTATTTTTCCTTAAAGTTGGAGAGTTTGGGCTTTTTCCTCTAAGTGTCACCATGGGACAAGGCCATTTCCTGGCTCTGTGGGGCTCATCTTTCAGCAGCCCTGGAAGAGAGGGCAGGGGGTGTCTGGGCCTCAGAACATTGGCTGGGTGCTAAACAAGATGCCGGAGTGGCAGTGGGCAGACGTGACCTTCCTCTGCCCCCAGGCTCCAGGGCTTGTCACCAAGACCCCACACTGCCAGGAGAAGCTGGCGCCAAGCAGTCAGGCCTTCCGGAAGAAGTGTTTTCTTGGCCAGAGAACCCTGGAGTGACCCCGAAAACACGGGGGCGGGGGCTCCTCTGAAGAGGACAGAGAGGAGGGGAAGGAAGCGTCCCACTCCACAGCATCCCGAGTGGCCCGGGAGGATGACTAGGCTATTATTGTCCGCCGGCTTCCCTGCCGGCCGGATCTAATCCCGACCCGCTTCCGGCTCTAGTTTTCAACATGTTCCCGAAGGGAACATCAGCGGGTGTCTTTGAAGGAGGGAGGTGAGCTCAGGGGGCCTTTCCTGCCTCCCCCGGGCTAGAGGGACGTGGGACAGAACATGTTGTCCCACTGCCACAGTGACGGAGGCTCCCAGGGGCTCACATCTGGCTGATGACTCTGATGGTGTTTCCGGGACAGGCAGGCAGAGAGATAGGCAAACAGGTGTAACATAGACAGACAGGCAGAAAGGCAGACAGGTAGACAGGTGGATAGAAAGGTAGACAGACAGACAGGCAGACGCGTTGATAGGCAGAAAGACAGGCAGGCAGATAGGTAGATAGACAGGTGGACAGATAGGCAGGCAGGCAGACAGACAGGCAGACAGCAGGCAGACACGTAGACAGGTAGGTGGACAGGCAGACAGACAGACAGGCCGGTTGTCCGGCACATTCAGAGGCCCAGGCTCAGGCTGCCCCCAGTCAGACCCTGGGGAGGCAGCAGAGGAAAAGGGTTCCCCTGAAGCCAGGGCTTGTTCTCAGAGAGGGTCATAATTAGGAACTGACTCCACAGGTGTGCCTTCTGTAGCTCTTTAAGGGCCAGACACGAATGACAGCATAGGGGACAGCAGGCTCAACCAGAGACTCAGGGGAGGCTGGGTCACGAGGCTGTGCGACTCCAGACCTTGGTCCTCAGAAGTCCTGGGTTCCTGCCTCTACTCTCCCATCGACCAGCTGGGCAACCCTGGGCACGAAGCATGACTCCCGGCGACCCATGCTCATGGTGAAGTGGGGGAACCGCCCGCCTGCCTGTCCCCAGGGCTACAGGGAGGACCGAGTGTGACACGCCGGAGAGGAGCTCTGGACACACATGCGCTTTAGGGCTGGCTCTGCACACAGGCCGCAGGAGTCTCACCAGCGCCCTCCCCTCCGCCTCGACCTACGCTCCAGCCTCCTGGCTGGCCTCCCGGCTGGCCTCCCAGCTGTCGCCCTTTGCCTTCCACCAGGCCATCCTGCGTGCTGCAGACAGAGCACTTTTTCTGAAAACATAGCCCAGATCCTGTCGCTGAGGCCTGCCTCTCGACCATTCTCTTTTCTCGTTTTTTTGGAGATAGAGTCCCACTCTGTCACCCGGGCTGGGGTGCAGCGGTGTGACCATAGCTCCCTGCAGACTCGACCTCCTGCCGCCCCCTCCTCTTACAAGCCACCTGGTTTTCGCTCAGTTCCCCTCATCCCCTCTAGCCGCCAGGTCCTTGCACCTGCGGTTCCCTCTTGCCCCAAATCCTGTTGCCCCCTCCCCACTCCCTTAAGTTCCCAGGACTGGCCTCTTCTCGCACAAATCTCAGCCTCGCAGTGAGGCCTTGTGGGCACACCTATCCAAAGCCGCCGCCCTCAGCTTACCCACCCTTGCCATTCGCTGCAGTGAGTTCGTCTACTTGTTTATGATCTGACCCCACACTAGGATGGGACCTTCCTGGTCACACTCCCTGTTGAGTCCCCGGCATCTAGCACCGTGTGGGCTCATAAACCACACTCAGTAAATATCTGTGGAATGATGGAATAAATGATTCCAGGAAGCTTGAAGAAAGACAGGTGGGAACCAGGCAGGGAGAGGGAGTGAGCCGGTCGGGGGTGGGTTGGCGGTCCGTCTGCAAGATGGCTGCCAGGCACGGAGGGGAGGCCAGGCCGGAGGGGGCTTTCGCAAAGCTTTAGGGGACAGCTTCTCCTTTCTGAGCACGCACCCTCCCACTCTGGTGGGCATCTCACGGGACCTGGGTCCCAAGCCCAGATCCCAAGCTGGATAAGGCAGCTGCTGTCCCCTTTCCAAGAGTCCAGACGCCAGGTAGATCTGCTGGCATCCCCCACCCAGGCAGACCCAGCCCCTCCCAGGCCCCGCCCCCACCTGCTTGCTGGGTCTGCCCGCGGGTGGGGGTGCTCTGAGGTCCATCCCCGGCGGCGTTGAAGGCAGCCACGCTGACCATGTAGGCGGTGTAGCCGGTCAGGTTCTTGAGCTTCACGCTGTTCTCTGCCAAGAAAAGTGTCTTCACCCGCTCGGTGAGGTTCCGCCGCTGGGCTTCCCAGAAATAAATCTGTGGGCACAGAAGGTTGTAGGAATGAGGGGCACAGAGGCACCCAGCTTCCCTCCTGCCCTGCCTGACCCGGGGTCCGAGACACCCTCGCTATTGGAGTCACACAGGAAACACTATAGAAGTCTTTAGGAGCTGCTTTAGAGACCCTTCCAGAATCCTCCTTTTCACAGCCAAGACCCCGGTCTCTGCTAGACTGTAAATGCCAGGGCATGGTCCCTCTGTTCACTGCAGAGCCTGGAGGGTTTAGCATCACACTGGCACATCAGCACTTGAATACAGTTCCTGGAGGAATAAGCTGATTCTGTCCTGCAGGAAGCTGAGCTGGTGAGATAAGTGCTGTGTAGAGTCCACCCAGACTGAGTGGGTGCAAGGGTCAGCAGCCTTGGACCACCTAGGAACTGGTGAGAGACTGAGTCTCAGGCCCACCCCAGACCTGCCCTATGAAGACCTGCAGGTTAACAAGCCTCCCAGCAACACATCGGCAAGCCACAGTTTGTAAAGCCCCCAGGAATGCGCCGGCACCCTACGGTTTACAAAGCCCACTGCAGAGGAAGACCTAGACTAAGATGGCAGGCAGCACCATTCACTAGCAGTACACCTTGGCCAGGTGACTTCCTGAGCAGCAGTTCTGGAGTGTAAGTAAGTGAGATTAGGGACACCCACTTCCCAGGCTCAGTGTGAGGGGTGGCGGCCTGGGTACTCGGCCAGTGTCCTAGGGCACCTTGGGGCTGCAGAAGGTTTTAGGAGAAACACACAGCAAATGCTCTAGAGTTTCAAATTACTTCTTATTCAGCAGGCGTTTACACTCCTAGTCAGCGAAGCATGGAAGATTCTCTTTTGTGTGTGTGTGTGAGTTGGTGTCTCACTTTGTCACACAGGCTGGAGTGCAGTGGCACACTCACGGCCACCACAGCCTCGACCTGCTGGGCTCAGGTGATCCTTCCGCCTCAGCCTTCCAAGTAGCTGGAACGTGCCACCACACCTGGCTAATTTTTTGACTTATTGTAGAGATGAGATCTCGCCAAGTTGCCCAGGCGGGTCTCAAACCCGTGGGCTCAGGCAATCCTCTCACCTTGGCCTCAGATTCTCAAACTAGTTCTAGGACTGAGGCCATCCAGAAAGCTGCGAGCCAGTCCCAGAGCACGTGGAGAATTGAAGATCACTGGGCGTCACCTGCTGGTCAAAGAAATTTCTGCAAGCCGCCACCTTTTCAGTTTCTGGATTTCCCTGGAGGAAGCTAATAGAAGTGAGAAAGAGCTAATAAAAGTGTTCCCCTCGGCAGGTGTGTGTGGCAGTTAGGGCATCGTGCTACTATGAAGTCCTGGCTTTTCTTCAATCCCGCTCCCTTCTTTGAAAACAGATTCTCCTCTGTCTAGATGAATGCGCTGTACTCATTCGCTGAATCATTCATTCGCTGAATCATTCATTCACTCACTTCTGTTCATCGTCACGGGGATACAAGAGTGAGCAAAACGCCCGCCGCACTTGAGGTTCAGAGGAAAGGTCATGGCTAATGCTCAAAGTCTGGATGTCACCAGCGCCTCGGTGGCATTTGGTGAGCGTCCACCCAAAGGATGAACCAATCCCATTAGACAGAGAAGAGGGTCACGGATGGGTCTGGGGAGCCTCGGGTGTTGAGGGCGGGGAAGGAGGCTGGAACAGCAGAGGAGGGGTCGCCGGGGGTCAGGTGGGCTGGGGCCGCGTTGGAACCCCGGGGGACCTTGGCAGGAAGAGCTTTGGCGGGTGGGGCGGGTGGGGGGGTGGGAGGAGGTAGGAACGAGAGCCTACTCGGGGTTCAAGGCAGAAGGGGAGGAGTATCGGAAGGGATGAGCAGAGACGATTCTTTTTAGGAGTTCTGCTGTAGGGGGACCAGCCAAGGAATGGGTGATGACTGGGAGAACACGTGGGGCCGGGACACGAGCAGAATGTTATGTCCTGTGGTGGGAGATGGCCCCTGGATAGAGAAAGGCGGGGACGCAGGGGAGAGGGGTCACTGGCTAGTCATGCCCCTCTGGGGGGGGGAATGGGCAGGCCTGGACCCAGGGGCAACACCAGGAGAAGATATGACTGTTTGCGTGTGTTGAGCTCTGCAGACCTTTGTTAGGTGATGCAAGACCGAATGACCCTTGTGCGAAGGGGCCAGAGGGGCTGAGCCCGGAACCCGGTCCCCAAACTGATGGGTCTGCCGGGAAGCACCCTCCAGAAGGCAGGTGTTTTGGTCCACGCGGCCCCCTTGTGATGACCCAAACACCTGGAACATGCCTGGCACAACGTTGGAGGGCAGTAACTATCCACTGGGTGAATACATGCCTGTGGGCGGGGCGGGTGCAGGAGCCCACCTTATAGTTACCACCTGCCACCTGCTATTCTCAATTCCCTGCCCTTTCTTTTCTTTTTTTCAGCTTTGTTGAGATATAATTGATACAAATAAATTGTATGTATTTAAAGTATGCAATGGGATTTTTTTTTTTGGTCGAGTCTTACTCTGTCGCCCAAGCTGGAGTGCAGTGGGAGATCACAGCTCACTGCAGCCACAATCTCCTGGGCTCAGGTGATTCTCCTGCCTCAGCTTCCTGAGTAGCTGGGACCACAGGTGTGCACCATCACAACCTGTTAGTTTTTTTGATATTTCTTGAGGCGGGGGTCTCACTATGTTGCCCAGGTTGGCAATGTGATATTCTGATATATGTATACATTGTGAAATGATTACCACAGTCAAGCTAGTTGACATATCCATCGCCTCACAGAGCTGACTTTTCTTTCTTTTGTTTTCTTTTTTTTTTTGAGTTGGAGCCTCACTCTGTCACCCAGACTGGAGTGCCGTGGCACACTCACGGCCACCACCGCCTCGACTTGCTGGGCTCCGACAATCCTTCCGCCTCAGCCTTCCAAGTAGTTGGAATTACAGACATATGCTACCACGCCCGGCTAATTTTTTTATTTATGGTAGAGACGAGGTCTTGCCAAGTTGCCCGGGCTGGTCTTGAACCCTCAGGCTCAGGCAATCCACCTGCCTCGGCCTCCCAAAGTGCTGGGATGACAGGCTGAGCCACCGAGCCCGCCGTTCCCTTTTCTTGTGTGGTGAGGATCCTTCAGACTCATCCTCTCAGCAAATTTCAGATGCGTGTTACAGTGCCGTATCCCCTTTCCCCCACCCCGCAACCACCATTTTACTCCCTGCCTCTAAGACTTTGTTTGAGACTCCACGTACACAGGGATCACCATCACTTGTCTTCCTGTGCCTGGTTTACTTCCCCCAGCGAGGTGAGCTCTAGGGCCATCGTGGTGTTGTGACAGCAAGGTTCCCTTCAAGGCGGGCTGGCACTCCATCGTGTATCCACACTGCATTGCCTTTGTCCATTCACAGACACTCAGGCTGTTTCCACACCTTGGCAATTGTGGCTAATGTTGCAATTAGCATGGGAGTCCAGAGAGCTCTCCAAGATTTCAATTTCTTTGGATAAATACCCAGCAGTGGGATTGCTGCGTCACATGGAGTTCTATTTTTAATTTTCTGAGAAACCTCCGTACTGTTTTCCATGATGGCTGTGTTGATTCGCATTCCCATCGACAGCGTGCAAGGGTTCCCTTTCCTTCACGCTCCAGCCAGCACTGGCCTCTTGACTTTTGGATGATGGCCAGCCTTGTGGGCGTGAGGTGCCATCTCACTGTGGTTTTGATTCCCTTACGTTGAGCGATGTTCAGTGCCTTTTCTCATATCTGTTGGCCATCTGTGTCTTCTTTTGAGAAATGTCCATTCAGGTCCTTTGCCTCATTTTTCTTTTCTTTTTTTTTTTTTTACAGATGGGGGTCTCGCTCTGCTGTTCAGGATGGAATGCATTGATGGGAATCACTGCAGCCTTGACCTCCTGGGCTCAAGCAATCTTCCCACCTCAGCCTCCTGAGTAGCTGGGACTATAGACACCGTCACCATGTCTGGCTAGTTTTTTGACTTTTGGTATAGACAAGGTCTCACTAGGTTGCCCAAGCTGGTCTTGAATTCCTAGACTCAAGTGATCCGCCTGTTTCAGCCTCCTAAGTAGCTGGGGTTATAGGTATGAGCCATCACACCCAGCCTGCCTCCTTTTTTGCTTTTTTGTTGAGTCGGAGTCTCATTCTGTTGCCTAGGCTGCAGTGAAATGGCATGATTATGGAGATCACTGCATCCTTGACCTCCTCGGCTCAGGTGATCCTTCCACCTCAGCCTTTCAAGTGGCTGGGACTACAGATGCATGCTACTGTGCCAGGCTAATTTTTTTTTTGGGGGGGGTGTAGAAAGTTGCCCAGACTGGTCTCAAACTCCTGGACTCAAGCAATCCTCCTGCCTCGACTTCCCAAAGTACTGAGATTACAGGTGTGAGCCGTTGCACTCGGTCAGCTCTACTGTCAAATGTAACCGAGTGAGACCACTTCTAACCGCAGTTCCCACCTGGATGACTCAGCCACCTCCTCATGACTGCTGGGCCTTTTCCACTTCAGACTACACTCAGCACGGCAGCCAGCGGGATGCTCTGAGAATCCCAGCCCCCCAGCCCTCATCTCGCTCAGGATGCCCAGGCCTGAGAGGGCTCCAGGCGCTCTGTCCGTCTTCCCGTCACGCTCTGCCAGCTCACTCTGGGGACGCACAGGACTCTGTACACTACCGGCACCCACTGACCCCAGGGCCTTCACTCTTCCCTCACCTCTTCTGGAATGTTCTGACTCTCTGTGATGTGTGTCCTGTTCTCCCGCAGGCTTTTGTTCACATGCCGCCTTCTCATGAAGTCCTTCCCACAACCCTGCTTAAAATTCCCAATCTGTCTCGGACCCAGCTCTCCCTCACCTGCTCCGATTACAGCCATCTGGTGGGACTGCGTGTCTTGCACTTCGCCGGTCTCTCCCCTGACCTTAAAGCTCACGTGTCTCCGTGCTCACTGCTTTATTCCCAGGACTGAGGACAACGCTGGGCACACTAACTGCTCCATAAACATGCGTCTGTGAATGTCTGTGAGACCCTAAGCTCCAGGAGAACAGGTGAATGTGCAGCCCGCCCTGAATGCGGCATTGTCTCAGCTGCACTTGTGGGTCATGGTATGAATGCATCACCGATGCTCGTGAATGCTGATGTGAACACACGGGCTGACACCGTTGGGAGTCGGCGACCCTGCTTCCCCGGTGGCCCATGTTCTCAGTTGCTGCTCAGGTGTGGACCATGTTTTCTGAACGCCAGACATCTGCTGTGTTAAGGATGGTGGTGGGTGCCCGTGGGCTTCCTGGGCCGGTCTATTAACGTGCCACTTCCACAGCTCGACAGTCTGGTGACTGCCAAACTGCTGCTGGTGCCACCTGTCCCCTTTGTCTTCCGGGGGAGACGTATGCTTGGGTGTGATATTTAGTCTTTCTGGCTGGTGCTCCCAGGTGCCGCCTTGAGGGGTGCTGCCTGTCTTTGGCACTTCCTTGGCAAGATGTGCTCCCTCCCCTTCGTCCCAGAAGAGACTCCTGGGCTGGATTCTGTTTTAGATGGAGGCCACCTGTGTCTGCAAGCTGTGTGTCCTCTTCAAGCTCTTCTCCTGATTTGATTTCCACCGTGGCCTGAGGAGCGGGTTGGGTGGACCGTGAGGTCCCTTGTGGCTTTCATCTGTCCCCATGGGCTGCGACACTGGGGCTGCTCTCTGGAATCATGTCCCATCGTCGAGAACTGGAGTTGACCAGACACCGGTGTGCGTGGCAGGCAGGCTTCCGACTCGGCTGAAGGCCACGTGTTTCACTGCTCCAACCCGGGAGACACGTTCTTTTTTTTTTTCTTCTCCCCCTCTGGTACTGTGTGCTCAGGAGTTCCTCTCTACCCTTTGTGGGGTGAGAGCCAGCAGAACTGGCGTCTGACTCCCTGCTACCAGGCCACCTAAATTGGGACTCAGTTTCCCCATCTGTACAACAGGCGTAAGAAAACGTATAACCCATAAGTCCTTTAAGAGGATTAAACAGTTCCAAAGGGCTTTGTGAATATTAGGGGCAAACAGAATCCCATCAGCACACATGACATCTCTTGAACCCTAGAGATGCTGTTTGAGCAGAGATCTTCAAATTCTAGCTGGGTGCTCTGCTAGTTAGTAAAGCGATCCAGTTAGTATCGATATTGTCATTCGGGGCCAACTAGTCCCCTGGAGGGGTTTTAGGTTATGTGTGGGGCTGGGGCTTGGTGGGGTGGGTGGGGGTGTGCGCTGTTTGGGACAGCACGGTGGAGGCATGGCCAGAGTCTCCTGCCCCGGGCTCCACCTGCCCTTGGATGCAGGAGGGAGGGCTGTTGTTTTTGCTCCAGCTGTACAGTATTTCTGTGAATCGGGGACAAACAGCTCAGACACACAGGAGTGCCCGGAAGGGCGGACGCTCAGCTGGGAGAGGGCCCCAAGGACATCTCCGCCTATCCCCCCACGTGGGTCACTCCCAAGGCGGCCCTTGCCCCGTGGCCCCTCTG